GTAAAGTTTTATTTTTTCAAGTCTTTGGCAACCGATACAAAAAATCGACGTTTCACCTAAGTCTTTATTTCAACATATTTTCCTATATTACTGCGTTAGTGCTCCCATTGTTACAAAATTTCTATCGTTTTTATCCAGGTATGATCGGATACGGAGTGGCCAAATCTGCTGTGCATCATTTGACAAAAAATATGGCCCTTCCAGAGAGCGGTCTGCCGGAACATGCGACAGTAGTCGCAATTTTGCCGTAAGCTTCTGAGTTGACTAGTTTCATTAATTTTTAATTTTTAATTAAGAAGTAGATTCAAAAGCTGTGTGCTTGAGCGCTCGAATTTATATATGCCCAGACTTTTTGCCATGAGTATTTTATGTTGGCCAAATAATGTAATCTCAGATACAAACTGCAGAGATCAGGTTTCTTTTGTATGGTGACGCTGGGTAAGCTTCAAAACGCAGCAGTTCGAGTTACCTTTGCATGAGGACACTCTTCTTGTCCACGGCGATATCGCGATTGCGATGATTTGCCTAGGTGATCAAGATGCCTAAATGGAGGCTCGTAAGAAAGACTTTTTCTTAAGTTGTATGGTATGCAATGGTTGCATAGTCAGAAGAGCAAATGACCCAACTATATTGTACCCCTTGAGTTATTGCGCTATTAAATTCTTGTCCCTCGTTGGCAAGAAAACCGGACCTTTGAAAGTACCTTCTATAACCTGAAAGTAATGCTGAAGTGTGAAATTAGATGGATAATATATGATCGAAATGATGCAGCGAGGATCGAATAGCTGTTACAACTCAGATCTTCGCTATGATACGCAAAACGACAGCTGACATTCTTCATTTGAATTTGTTCAGATTATGTCATCAGTGCCAAAATGTTTTTATAATTTTTATGAAAATTTCAAATGCTTATTAAATTGTAATTTCAAGCTTTTGATAGTTTGAGCACCTCTAAGTAAGATAAGGTAAACACGTTAAAGGTTTTGATTTTAGACACTGTCATCCGTCTCTGACATCAGTAATTTACTTTACCAAATCACGGACCGACTGTTTCAGTCGTAACGTTCAGGAAACCATGTGACCGCTATTTTCTTTTAACTGTGAATAAGGCAAATTGTTTAAGAACTTTTTGAATGAAAATGCAATGCAACTTTTTGTGTTTTCAAGGCACTGGCATTTTTACACTTTTGCTCTGATCACCACTGACTCGAACTACATGGATTTCACAAAAACTAAACATTGTCTCTATGCTTCAAAAAAATTTATTGTTTTTTGTAAATGTTTGTAATTCAGGGTGATGCTGGACACCAAAGCAAATCGTCAATCAATTCCCGATGGTGACATTTCGTCGTGGACGCCGCTGAAGTTCGTTAGCGAGTAAGCTTTTGACCAAAGACCTCTTAAAATTGCCCAGCTTAAAATTGCTGTTTCAGCTTGGTCTTTGACTGGGCTGCGGAAAAAATCAAGAGACCGAATTCTGGGTCTCTGATTCAGCTGATCACTGCAGACAACAAAACTGTGCTTGAAACTTGTGACCGTTAATGTTGCTCGTTCCTTCTGTCAGTGTTTGCATTGTTTTATTTGTGTTTATGTACTTGACATTGTGAATAATAAAACTTTCGAAGAATGACATGCTTACTTATATGTAATTTACTGGTTTTGGTCACTCAGTTTCTATTTCAAAGTTGTGTATGTGTTATTCTTAACTTTGAGCGTTTTTGTAGTGCAGGCCAAAAGAAAAATGCTTGTCAGCAGGTTGGTCAAGAACCTTCGAATTCCGTCTATTTCTTGTAGTACTTCTGTGCGGATCCCTGAGCCGGCAGATGTCGAACCAATCAAGATTCCAAATCGAATAAAAGTATTTTTTATCTTCTGAAATTTCTGCCAAAATGTCATAAATCACATGGAAAGGTTATGTCTTCTAATTTTGCGGTTTATGACGCCTTTCATTCCATGGTATGACAATATTTTTACAGAAACTTGATCAGCAATACTTTATCGAATGTTACCTGGCTTCACCGTCAACGTGATTTAAAGGATGTTGGTTTGTTCCTTTTTCTGATATCATCCGTCAGACACTTTACAGATCTTCCTATCATTTTGCTGATGATCATTTATGTTTCGTTCTGAAAGATTAAATCGTGGGAACGTTTGCATTTTACCAGTGCCTGCAGTCGTTTGATCTGTGTTTTAGTCAGGATGGCCTGCTTTACATTTTCGAAGTTTGAATGAAATACGTTAGTCCCGGGTTATCACATCGTTGGTCAGTTATTTCATTTTTGTGAGTGTTTATGATCAAGGCAATCCTATTTAGTGGCTTTTGACAGACATCAGGCGAGATTGCCTACAACCATCACGCAACTAAAACGGCATCGCCTTGACTTTTATTCTTGCCCTTGACTGCTGTCCTTACTGAGCATTCAGTAAACTAGCAATTGCGTCATTGCACTCTATTTTACATTGTTCCAAGTCACTGGCCTATTTACGTTTAAGGTGCATTCATCCATGTTAGCCGTCACTTCATTTTTAAATAATAGTCTTTGAGTTGCACACTGCATATTTTTGCTACCTTCAAATGCATCGAAGTAGAGGAAATTCTTCTATGTTGTTGTAACTAACACATTTTCTAAAACTAATTAATTCATCAGTTTGAATGAGGTTACACGGAGAAGATTTTCTCTTCACGCTTTTTTATTTTTCAATACATTCTCGTTGAGTGAAAAAGTGACATTCTGGAGCAGGATACCATTCTGTTGTGACGAATAACATGAGTTTAGCTTATGTAATTTTCAGTACGATCACAGCAGATCATCGTCCCCACATTATTCATGTCTGGACTTACTGAACTGGGTCACACTGGAAAGCATGCCGTGGTTCGTTTCATGCACTACCGCTTGTCCGCGCTCAGTCATAGTAACATCAGATTGCTTCGCCTTAGAATGAATATACAAACGTAATTTTGCGATAGATATATCAAACGCGTCGTTCTTGCGTGTAAACACTGTTTTCTCACCTTACAAGGTGATACTTTAGCCACTAGGATCATATAAAATGCGCCATTAAAGCATTTTCCGACAGTGACATTCTTATATGTCTCTGTAGATATCTGCCAGTAAAGTTCGATGCTGTATGCTGTAAAATTGTGTTTGATGAACTGATGAGTTTATTAACGTACCATTCGGGTGAACCCTTATTTTGAAGCTCTTGCGAATTCATACTGATCACCAGAAATAATTCTTTTAGCTATTAAATTATTCGGCAGGCAAGTTTTTTTTGTAAGTGTTAAAGTACCAAGAAGCCATGATGCTTAAATAATGCCATTGGCATCTTAAACAGTGTTGCTGTAATTCCATTAAACCTAGTTTCATGGAATATATGTAAATGTAAATGCAACGTTTTTTAATTCTTTAATTTTTATTGTAATTTAGCTTTAATATATACTATCATGCCTTGTAGCGATCTCCTGTTGATTTGCTGAAAGCCTTGGCATCTACGGTAAAGGATGACCCGACCGCCTCCCATTACAAGTATCATGATGACCCTTACCTGATGCCCGCGTCATCGTATACTAGGCAGACCTATGCTTTGGGCAAAGAAGCCGGAAGGAAAGCCGCAAGGTACTTTAAGGTCAATTTATTTTATTGTGATGTTATCCTTGTGGTAGCCCATTTTAAGAATGACACGTGATATTGTATTTTTTCTGACTGGCATTTGATTATTGCTTCAGTTATTTTTTACATTTCAGATACTTCGCTCGAGAATTCCCTACTCTTTTTATGTACGATAAAGATGAGCCACGCATAATGTCTTATCGGTTACCGAAGCCGCCGCAAGACGAGACTGGAAAAACGGAAGAGGAGCTGGTCGACCGCATGCGTCATCTTTGGGTTCAATCGGCCGTCAGGGTGTACGAGAACATGATGGCCGCCAGAATAGAGATTTCTGAGGAAACGCTGTTGCGATTCTTAGAATTTCTTTGTTACTTCAACTGCACCGATCCGGAGGAATTTCATCCTGAGCAAAACTGGCTGCGCTTCGAACTAAACGTTAGACGATCAAAATCCGTTTGGAAACACAACGGCTGTGCCATGAAAATCTTCGATAGCTTGCAACCCAAAAGTGCTCGGTCGGTATTCACATTCATTTTTCAGTTATTGCCGTTTTTCTTGCGTCTTTGGCATAGGTTCTTCCTTTTCTGTTAACCCTAATGGTGCGGCTTACCTTCTGAAAAAATTTTCTCCTGTTTTTATTCTTTCAGATGCCTGCTGCGTGGGAAACATTTGTTCCTTGAACAAGTTGTGAATGAATTCGTTTTTATCGAAAGAAAGTCTGAAAACACTGAAACTGGTGTTTGAAAGGCCACGGTTCTTTTTTCATGGTTCTGATGTAGTTTTTTTCTTCTGCTCCGGGACCTTGACCTTAATGAATAGACCTGAGTGCAATTTCGAAACGTTGAACCGTGAATTAAGAGAAAAAGCAAAATCATTCTTCTTCTTCAGTTCCTTTGTCATCTTCCTTTTTCTTCTATTGTTCGTTTTGTTCTGTTTTTCTCTTCCCATCTGAATGTTTTGTAAAACGTGGTTGCTGTAATTTGGCTTGTTAATAAATCTCCATTTAGAGCTTACAGTGCTGTAATTTGCGGTATGGCGAAATATCTGTCAGCGAAGGAAGCGAGCGAATACTTTGTACTTATGCGTGAAGAAGGTTTGAAGCCGGACGCTTTTCTCTACAATCGCATCTTGTGCGGCGTATGTAGAGTGAAGAGTATTAACTCTGAGCGATGGGAAAATTTGCTTGAGCTGCTCCGGACGATGAAGCAGGACGGAGTCCGTCCGAACGCCGATACATTCAACTCCGTGCTCGCTCAGCTGAGGTTGATGAAGTCTTGGCGTAATGCTCCAGATCATGCTCTCGAAGTTTACAGGGTACATATATATATATTGTTGATTAGTATTTTATAGTCGTTCGTTAGATGGCACAAGAATTGTGAATTACCCGTCGCGCGGATTACCAATTGAACCTTTCGTATCTTAGGGAGAAAGTTCGTTCGAAATGATTGGCTACATTTTCCACTACTTGTCTGCAGATGACAGCCAAACGGGTCTTGCAACCCTACCAGAGGGTTCGCTGTCCATTCATGGAGACAACATGAATGAGGCAGCGCAAATTATGTAAATGACTTCAGGGATGTTTTCGAAACGGGTAAAATCAGTAGATCATGGCTGTTGATAACTGGATGCCTGCTCTGCCTGGATAAAACAGACGCTAGCAGAACGCTATCACTGTTTGTGGTTGGAATCTCTTCTACCAAACGCCGCAGTTGCAAGGTCTCTTGAATTGAAAATGGGTGGGAGCTTTTCTGCCATAGAGCTGATTCAACTACTTCGGCACATACGAAGGTGGTGATCCTAGTGCGTCGCTGGTTAATTGGTTGTGTGGTTGACTGAGTCGCTGTGTGGAGGTTTCTGTGATGAAGCTCAGGCGTTGAGAGCTGGCCCTAGCTTATGCAACGGTTATTGAATCACTGAGCATTCTAGATTCTTCCTGGAAGAAGGCCTTGAAATGGTAGAATCTGAGACGAAATCTACGCTTTTGATGCAGCCTTCATTACACGTGTCTGAATCGACGAAGAAAGATAGAATGAACTCGCATTATGGGAAACTTTTGGACTTCTGTGATGCCAATGACTTGTTCACAGTTAACACCTTCCAGCAGGATATGTTCTTAATATCATGAAATTTTAAATAGTAGTTCCTGATCGATCTGATTCTGGCTTCGTTGGACCTCTTTTCCATCATACCATATGTTTGGATGAAACGATTGGCAGCGCTGTCGACGAATCGCCACCACGCTGTCTGCAAGCAATCTTTCAAAATCCAGGACGATTCACAAGCCCAAATGGTAGACCAAAATTTATCGACGGAGTAAGGTGGAAAGTTCTGATTGATCTGGGTATGAGGAAACAGTTTACTGGTAACATGTCAACATTGTTGAATCAAATATTCAGTTAGGCCTGAGAAACGGTACTGAACGACGACTGATTAACGCAGCTATAACATCTTCGACTCCTTTGTACTGTGGACTAAATCGGTTTCTTTCGTGGCGCCGGCAGATAAAGCATTTTTAGATTCAGTGCGGAAGTCAAGCACAGCACTCTGTATGAGCAAAGAATACGACATTTAACCTTGTTTGTGTATAAAACCTCGTCTTCCCTGGACATTTGTTGCACGGAAGTTCGGTGAAGGCTGCAAGGGCAAGGATTTGAAAATCGTTTGAAGAAAATCGAACTTTGACTACTGAGCGGCAAGCAGAGACTTTTAGCAACTATCCTCCAATGCGTGGACGAAGATAATATAGCCTGAGCTCTGATGAGCTTTGGATTGAGAAATTTTTACCTGCGAGAAAGATATCCTCATGTGCGTACTTTGAGTACCTTTTTAATCCAGTGTATGGATACCCTGGCAATAGTGTTGAGCTGTATTTCATTACGGGCAATGGTCTCACAGTGGGCTGTGGTTTCTAGCTGATGGTGTGGTTGTCTGCAGCAACCGATCGTATGAAAAGCGGCAAGAAACTACTAGTTGTCTTAAAAAAATTTTTTATATGCGAAAAAAATGCCGGTATTCTTTTCCTCACCCGACAGATTACATTTTGTAACCATAGAGTATGTTTGTGTTGTTCTCGACATGAGTATGAATTCGGGACAAAATACTCCAATATTTGATATGGAGTATTTGAGCTGTGCAGCCTTGGACAGCGGACATGTACCTCGTGCATTTCCAATGTTATTTGGAACCTGATTTAGTTTTACTTCGTTATCAATTTCTGTCCCTCTAGCGCTGTTTTTCAGGAGATGGTTTCTCTTCAACTGCAGCCGACTCTGGGAACGTACGTCTGCCTGATCGACATCTTCCAGCCACGGCCCGAACTGCAGTCGCTTCTAGACGAAATTTTGGACCAGCTTGAAGGCAAGCACCTGCAGGTGACCGATCCTCTGGATGAACTATTTTTTCCTCACGCTATGTCATCCATATGCGAAGCAATCCAAGACCCGGTTCTGGCCTACCGACTTCACACCTTGTTGAACTTGGGCCATAACGAGGATTGCATCACCAGTTTCAGTGCCGAAAGTAGCTACTACGAAAGCCTTCTGACACTGATTTCCCGCACCCAGCCGACTGATGAGTTCTTTAAAATGTACTACCAGCACGTGCCTCGGCATTACTCTCCTGGGGCTCGTTTCTTGACCAACTTGATCCATTGTTTCGAGTTAACGGCTAGTTATGCCTACTTCCCTCAAGTCTGGTCAGAAATAGTGTATCAGGGCTTGAACGAGCGCACCTTTTTGGAAACAGAATTTTTCTTGGCCATTCTACGGGGAAACATCGACGAATCGCAGTTGATGAAAAAACTGAGTGACATCGCGTGGGACGCATTTACTAAAAGGTACGCTCAATACACTGACGAGAGGGTGAAGCATGTCAGGGAAAACCAGCGATTCACTGCCCGATTGGTTGTACTTCTGTCCTGCGTTTGTTCGCGAGCAGGCGACTTCGATCGAGCATGGCATATGCTGCGGCTGGTGCTACCGTCAAAGGGTGTCGAACTTACAGAAGTGGATCTAAAAGTTCGGACGGACATTTTAGACAGTGCGTTAGCCAGCGAAGCTACCGAGCTGCTGGTCAGTTTTTTGGCAATCGATGATCCTGTCAAACACGATCAATTACTAAACTTCGTCCTGTCCCTTTGCGAGGAGAGCAGGAACGAGTTGTGTGAAAAACTCAGCAGACATCCGTTGCTCTCTGAGCAGCAGAAACGAAATATGCAGGCTCTTCAGGACCATTCCCCTCAGTAGTACATACGTTATTCATTTTTGATGCAGATAAATTGTGGACAGAATTTATAACAAGCTTCAGCGTTGCATTCATACTTTGATTTCAGCTCGTCATGCATGTTCCGGTTTTGTCAGTAGCGTAAGATTTATGTTTCTAAATTTATGCTTTCATGGCCTTGATGTATGAATAAATTAAAGCTTTGTCGGCTCTTCGGCTTGTGATTAATTCAATGACAGTATTTTATGAAGATCACATATCGGTATGGAATATCAGCAGTGACATAATAAAGTAACAAATACGTGAAACTGCAAAGGAATACAGCAGGAATGATGAAAAAAGTTAGAACAGGAATTAAATTTCACTTTAAAGAAATTATGCGCCGTTTAATGTGCGGCTAGGAAAGTATTTATGCGATGACATATAAGGCGTGCTAGCAATTAAAACCGTGATGAGCGTGAAATGGCTCTAGTGAGTATAGGCATTGAAGATGCACTTGGCACTGCAGTTGTTCAGACACATTTGAGTACTTAAATGCCGCTCTTAGACAACTATGACTAACGAGACGGTGCAATATTCCGTGAAACTAATTTTGGATGTGTTATACGTCAGGAGAGATGAAAGCGAATTTCATATATAACAACGTGTGTGTTACCATCCATACCAGTGTGGATTGAAATTGTTTTGCAGCTCAATCCATACCTGGACATGCTTCTTTTATCGTAACATTGAATGCCTCTGCACTGTCTCTTGAAGAGATACGCTATCTCCTTTAGAATTGTCCTTCGGTTTAGGATTAAACGTAGGCTGTATTACGGTAAAATGAACGTGCTACTATTTAGATTAAACAGCGACGCAGTTTCTGACTAATGTATACCACTTAAACGGAGATAAATTTTATGGCAAAATTAGACCATCATGTGAGAGGTATAGTTCAGACTTTTCACTAAAGCTTCTTCAGATAGTGTATATTTCTGAAAAACTTGTACATTTTACCATATATTTCATCATCTTTATTGCTTATAATCTTACTATTAGCAGACAGTTTTTTCAGCGCAGGTCATATGAGATTTCTGGTTCAATTTACTGAACGTGGCAATAACTGTAACTGATTTTATGGGACAAAAATTTATAAAGCGTGACATAAACGGAGTTGGCGATCGCCTGTGCAATTCCGTTCGGGCATAATTGTTAACGTATATAGCTTGTTCGTTTGATTACTTCGATTGACATCGTGACATGAAGCGGGTGGGAGCTGTCTAAAAATTTTTTCTTGAAGCTGTATTATGCACATTATCTGGTTAGTGAATCGCTTAGCCAGAAATCCGAAATTCACGTGACCGAATC